TAAAAAGGGACTTTATTCGTTAGCTTTTGCACATCTTTCCCAGGGGGCTCTAATAAAAATGGAAGCCATTAAATTTTAAAGATGCTAAAAGAAATCAGAGCTTCTAAATTCATAATTAAATATAGTTTTTGAAAATATTAGACCACTGTTTAAACTTTAGCCCTCATCTGTAGATTTATATGTGATTAGAAATCAACAATGCACATCTTTATATCAAATGTAATGTTTATTGGGTGAAAATCAAGAATCACTGTACATGTGTGAATGGATAACAAAAAGACAGATGCAGAAACTCTCATTACTATTCAGGCTTGGAAAGCAGGAGCAGAACACTTGAGCTAACAGAATGAATATTCTTCCGCCATATTCATCCTGCTGCTTGAATTACCTTCTAAGTGTTCAGCAGCTATTACTAAACTCCGTCTAGAAATCACAACAGAGTGAGCAGACTGTTATAATATGCAGTCATTTGCTTGAGATTAAGCAAAGCTGGAAACAAAAGAATACATCACGCAAACAACATGAACCACAGAATCGTAGGGTGCAACAGGCATCATTTGGCTTTGTTTTTTGTTACAGAGCTGGTTTTATTTTTATGCTGATGACTTTTTCAAATTGAAGGAGTTTTTCTCTCCAGCATTTAGACTATTTACTTTCACGTTCTGTGCTCAGAGCAATTTTTAAAAATATTTTTATGAATTTTGTCTTGTCTTGCTGTATCTCCTGTCAAAGAGAGGCTGTGGAGACCAAAATAACACAATGAATAAACTAAGGAAATAATTTACAGAAGACCGTGTCTGAGTTTAGGTGTCAGTGTACTATTACAGCTCATTTTATTCACAATGTGTTGGAGAGAATTGGGGCCCTGTATGTGACGCCATTAGAGCAAATTACTTTGACGTACTTATCTGTCTGTATACTGAAGTCAAAGAAGAAAGTATTAAGGGCTTCAGATTTCTTTTGTTCCAGACTTTAATATTTTGCACTTACACTGTGGTGGAGTAAGAATGGGATAAGACCCAAGGATAAAATGATTGAAATTTTCAATCTGGGCCTGAACAGTAGGAATGAGCTGCAAACCAAGCATCCCTTTGGGGAGAATTGTATGGATTATATTATCCTGTTGCCGGTCCACAGAGACCCTGGGCAATCACTCAGCTGCTTTATATCCTCTCGTAGGTGGTGCTCGATGCCGCTGTGTTGCTTTCCTGCTCACCTTGAAAAATGTATGATGACTGTGATCAGGAGTTTTCATCTCTAACACCTTTTAAGTTGCAGATTCTTATTCTCTGGTGCTACAGGCCACCGAGATGCTTTGTGTTGCATCGACATCCCAGCAGCACATTACAACAGATTGTATGCTTTTCGAAATATAGATCCAAACGCTGCTCTGGAATACAAAACGAGTTGCTTGTGTCTGTTTCTGTGTGAATGCACAGATAATTTAATCTACATTTAACTTCATCTTAATTGTAGCATCTCAATGAATAACTTTGAGGAATTTGGATTTGATTTACTTATTTATGTGCAATTTTGTGCAGAGCCTGACGTGGCGATGACTGTGTTGACTCCGGCTCTTACAAAGACCTATCTCAATCTCCGTGGTTGTGTCCGGGGATTAAGCAAAGCTGAAGGCAGGTGCATCATACGTGGCTCCTCCGGCATACACGGTTCAGATGCAGCTTAGTCCTCCCGACGCTTCGACCTCTAGCCGCAGGCACCTGCTGCATCTTGCAAACAAGACCTTGACTTTCACACCTGTGTTTCGGGCAATCAGTAGGTTTGGATGCACACTTGAAGCCAGGTTATTCAAAATAAATAATACAAACTCCAAGGTTGTCTTGGCATGCACTTAAAAATATGCAGCTGATGAAGCCACAAGATCTTTACTTTAAAACAGTTGAATTAAAAGAAAACAAAAAACAAAAAAGCGTTTTTTAAAATTAAACAGTTTTCATGTGTTTCATGACAAATGTTAAAAGTACATTCATCAGGACATGTCAGGCACCACAAAGTTGATGATTGGTAATTTGAGATATCCAGCATATGCATAGTTTGAAGGCTGCAACAACCCCCTCATAAATTTAAGGAGTGTTCATGTATTTCTACAGAAATGTGGAAAAAATATGTTTAAAGTACTAAATGAAAGCTGAAAATAATCCCAAATTGCTTGATTACATAAGATGCAATTTAATGGCTCAATTCTGTTAAGTATCAAACATAAAACTGCACTTCTTGTAAAAAAAGATTCGTATTCCACCAATCTGTGAGGAGAAGGCTTTGAGCTGTACAATGAGGCTTTTTAAGTCTATGCTTCTGTTTGAAAAATCAACACTGGTTTCATGGGGAAAGGGGAATAAATTGCTTTGATACTGACAAACACTTGAAGAACATCTTGATAGCAGCAGGTGATTGTTGTTCAGGCCACATAAAACACCTTTAACCCCTTCGTTAGACATAAATGTTTGCCTCATAGCTTATTTATGCATCTGCAGTTACATAGGGTATATTTGAAACCATCAATTATATATAACACGCACAGGCAGGCTGCAGTATTTTCTACATTCACCTCTGTGCCATTTACTGTGTATAGTTATGAATTGTATCTTTTGCGTTAGAATAGCCGGTGCATGAACTATTTTCAATGTGTAATAGTTTCTTGTCTTAAACAAAGAACACATCAAAGGTCATCAAATCATTTATTTTCATTGACATGACTTTGTTGTTTTAAAGTTTAAAACACAGTAGATTACATCAAATCATAAAAACTTCAAGAAGTCGTTACTGATGAATTTAAAAACTTCATTTCTATGTTATGCAAATCTAACATAGAAATGTATTTTTTTAAATACATTGGCCTTTATATGTAAATTACCAAAGTATGGGAACCTAAAAGTCACTTCAAACCTTGAGTTCAATTTTCATTTTCTACAACGGAGCTGCAGAGGCGAAGACGACAGACAAAAGGCTGCAAAACAAGAAAAAAGAGCTGGTAATAAAAAAAGCGGCAGTGATAACAGACTCTTCTTTTTATAGAAGGTGGAGCATGTTTTTCTAAAACTAATCACATTTGTGGAGTCTGATTTGCAGGAAATTAACTTCAAAATTACATCTCAAAGATCCAGACAAGCTATGTTTGAATTCTGCCACCTACCTTGTGTTTTGAATAAATTAAGCTTCCACACTTGCAGCATTTTATTTATTCATAGTTTTTTCTTTTCTCTCCGACTTTGTAGTTTTTTGATAGTCAGAGCTAATTTGTACTTGTTCCCGCAAACCATCTTATTTTTGTTGCAAATGATGTCGACATTCTCATTCAGATATTCAGGTTGAAAGGCCAACATCTTCTTTTTCAGAACCTCCACAAACACGTGTGCTCAGCATCAGCAAAAAAGAAGAAATATCTCAGCAATAAGTGACTTCACCTTGATCCTCTTGTATGACTTAAATGATACGGCAGAGATTGAGATGTGAGTGAATTGTGTTCAGTCACCTGCTGCCATGGTCACAGTCATTATGCCTGGCAGACAAAAGGAAAGCTAAAGACTGGGGAGTCCTTGAGCTAAACAGAGGTCCATTACCAGCCTATAACAACAGTTCACCCCAAAGTGGGCTTTGTTGCATACACTCACTTACCGGTAGTCGTTTTCCTTCCATGAAGAATCACCACCTTGTTGGATGCATAGTTTTATTTTTAAACCTCACACTGAATGCTAACGTTTAGCGCTGAAAACCAAGCGAGTTGCATCTTTTGCACATCATTAATCTAGCAGTGTGAAACCTGAATACAGCTTATTTTCTTTAAACAACCACTGTTTCTATTTCCAACTACATTTCGCAAACAATATGAAGTCTTGAGCACAACAAAGCCAATTTCCTGAGGCAAGTCTACAGAGCTGGTGGCAATTAGAAACCAATGTGTAATACCAAAAACAAGCTTTATTAGAAAATGGAATCATTTTCCTGCTATGTTTCAATTTCTATGGTTGAATATTTAAACAAGGTTTTCTTAGTCCAGTGTTACACTCCTATATCTGTTTTATTAAACAACCCACTGAGTAACACCTGAGCATGATGCTGCCTCCCCGATGTCTTGCAGTAGATATTCTTGTTTGACTTGTAGGCAAGAAGGAATTATAGCCCAATGTTCATGCCTGGCTTCATCAGATGATAAAATATTGTCCCCCATGGTTTTGTGAGATTTCAGCCAAGCAAGAATATTTTCTTTGGAACAAAATGTTTCTGTCTTCCAATCCATGTGGAAAATATGGGGAGTTGTTGATGCATGTACAAAAAAGAGAAAAAAAAGAGAAAAAGGAAACAAGAAACACCAACCAGAAATTTGTGCAGCTCCTTCACATTTGCTGAACACATTTCATGTCAGCTGTACATATATTGATGCTTTGCCCTTTCAAAATAAGACAAACACTACAATTTTAATATTTCTGCTATTTCTTTGTTAATTCTCAAACCTGGCAGAATTTTGATATAGGAAGAAAAAGCCTCACTCGGTTTTACTCTTCCCTGTCATCAGACTCCCCTTTCAACTCATTTAGACTAAGAGTTTTATTTCAGCCTTTCGTGAGCTCCGGAAAGGTCAGTTACCTTACCCTGCAAGCGAATAACTCCCTTTGATATTATTTTAATCTTATGAAAAGCACAAGTAAAGAAAGAAATCTTTGTAAAATGATTACAGTTTAGAAAATGTTTAAAAAATGTATTTTCATGAAAAGACGTTTGAAGTCATGCACAGTTTCTAAGTCAGAAACATGTGAATATAAATATTTTTTTATTACAAATGCTTGTTATCCTGTGCCTCTAAAGAGTAAAACCACTTTGAGTCAAATGTTAGGGTCCAATTTCTTTTTGTGTCAGAAATTTAGAATATATATATATATATTTAATTTAGAAAATATATATATTTTATATATTTTTTAAATATATCAGGTGTTCACATGAAAAAATTTATTTATGTGTTCACCTGTTTGTGCTCTTCACAGCTACACGCGGCGTGTTGTTGGAAATGGAGTCAGAGCTCAGAGTACCAACCCCGAAGTCAAAGTAAGAGGAGAAGACCCTGTAATAAACCAGATCATCGACAAATTAAAACACATCAACCAGGTGAGATTCTTTCATCCTGTGTGCATTTTATAGAGAACTACATGATTTTGCTCTCATTTTCTTCAAACCTATATTTACATGGTTCATTTGTCATACATATGGTAACTTTGCCCATTGAAAATCTGTTAATTCCCTTTGCTTCTTTGATAGTTTTTCATAAATTGAGAGCCCTCTTGTGTATAACACCTTTCACTCTTTACCTTTAATTCTCATCAAATGATTCTTTTTTACCCTCTTTTATATTCCTGGCAAGTACCAGCAAAGAGAAAATAGTCTCAAATACAGAATCATTTCTAAGGCAATGAATGAAAAAAATCAATCATTACACATTTAGAAAGCCATTTGGTCTGCTTTATGTGCCTTCGTATTTACAAAATTATTATTTTTTTGCTCTTGTCAAAATCAATGTGACTTTTTCTACCTGCCAGTCTGCCTTTATGTGCGTGTGTGCTGCCATAGCACCTCTCAGTGCTGTTTATCTCTCCGCATGATGAGATTAGAGCAGTTTACGGGAGCACTTTTCTTTCCTCTCGCCTCAATAACAGCTGCTCTGGCTGCATTTAGGCTGTCGAGCTGCAGCGGCAGCTTCAGATGTCTGTTGCTTCGGGTTCCCAAGTGGCGGGCTGAAGGCCAGGTCATCTCTCTTGACCTCATACTGGCACCCCCTCCTTCACTAATTCTCACCATCTGTGGGGTGTCAGAACACATAAATCTATATCATAACCATCAGAGAGCCTCTGTTCTGCCTGGCTGACATTCACTGTGCGTGCGGTGTCTTTTTTGCATCCTAACTGTATTTCCTCATGTGTCTTTTGGTTCTGTACATTTTTAGTTTCAGCAGGAAAGATTGTTTTGTAATCTTGAATACTCAGGGATGGCTTATCTGATTTGGAAATGGTTTATGTGATTTACTTTAAATACTATGGAACAGATTATGATTATGAGCTCTACCCAGATTGTATAATCACCTACAATCTGCTGAGACCAAGTATTTCAGCCAGTGTCATTTTAAATCCCATGTTGTTCTTTCCATTCCAAGTTGTTGGTTTGACATAGTTTATTGTATTCAATGCTATTTTACATTTTCAGAACATTTTAAATATGCCTCTCATTATATTTTGAGTTCTTCTGTTGCTCTCTCTTCTACTGTAACAAAAATAATTTGAAGACGAATCCCTGATGGAGCTCTTTTAAAATCCACATGCCAGCAGCTTAACCTGTAGATGAAAAGTTAACTACAGCTCTCTCCACATATTGGTTGTCTTGATGAAGATGAATAATAGATTCAAACGCAATCAATGTTTCATTGCAGTAGCCAACTTTCACTTCAGAAAATGTAGAAATGCTCAACCTGTATTTTGAATATATTTTTTTACTGAGTTGGGATATACCTCTTTGAAATAGATCTAATTATTACTTTTTTTTAATAAGTGATCTTGACAAGAGACTTTCAAACTTCATTAAGTAACATTCGGCTTCTTGTTTTGTTGAGCCATAGATATGTTGTGTCACAGAAACTTCTTTCTTCTAGTTACTCTGCAATACAGACAATACAAGAGAACATGCCACTTAAGAAAGGCAGATGTATGTTGCTTTTCAAGTCTTGGAATGACTACAATAAAATAAGTACCGTACTGTATCTATTCACCAACCAACAATAAAAAGACATTTTAAAAAACTTAAACTGTGACAACAGATAGAAGCTCTAAAAGTGCTTTCCACTTGGTACGTACACATCTTTAGCAAAACTATGCAGTGGTCTTTCTGAAAGAATTTGAGAAGAATATGTAGAATATTTTTACCAAGCCACACCTTGGCTTGGAATAAGTTATTTTTTTCATCAGCTAAATAAATTAGGTAAGTGAAAAAAATGTGGGACTAATTAAGCTTTCTCCTTCAAAAATACCAATAAATAAAATATTGTTGCCACTCAGTAAGTCCACACACAACAAGCACTAGATTCTAGGAATATACTTGTTGTATATTCCTGTTTATCTATTTATCTATTTTTTTTACAATGGTTATGTTCCTAACAAGTTTTATGTAAGCACCAAAGCAGACTGACAGTACTGTTACTTCTAACAAAAAATGTTTCCCCTTGTTATTCTATAATATTTTCCCTTAGACTGATGTGAGTTGCTGATTTGGGGCCTCATTAAACCAGTAATGTCTAAAAATAACAGAAAGGCACACCAGTGATGAAGCACTGCAATTTGACAGACTTAATGTCAGTTACCTTTTTTGATGAATACACTTGGATGCACACGGTTGAGCTATAATTGGGAATCAGTGAGCCAAATCCAGAGACACACGGCCAGTTGACCAGTCATAAAAATGGATTTGATGCGCCTAATTTAACTTTGTGTTTTGACCAAAGAGGCTGCACAGGTCAGACTTTCTGAGCTCCATGCAGCAACACAGGTGAGCAATTTGCCCCAAAAGGCACGCAGTGTTTCAAACCATGAAGCTGTTTTGGGGATGTTGTTGCATATTAGTGTGGTTTTTATGACTCTGTTCACTCAGACGGGGATTCATGAGTGAAATATGTGGGGAAGGTTCTGGAAAAAACCACTGGACCAGTATGCTTAATATGATGCTCAGAATATTGCTAGACTTTTTGCTTCACATTTTATTTGAGGTTCTTTGGATCTTCCCAAACATGTCCTCTACTCTGGTAGATAATATATAGTCACACATGCATGTGCAACTGAGCCCTTGCATATCAATAGTAGCAAGAGCCTGCTGTAGGTCCTGCATGGTATTTTAAACCCTTGAGAGACTCATAAGCTGCTGCAGCATTGGAAAACTCTTTTGATGTTCATTTTCTCTTCAACAGTCAGAAGGTCACCAAACTGAATGTCTGAGGTTTTAATCTGAGCAAACCTCCTTCAGAATCCACGGTAGTGATACGCCGCTGTGGGATGTGGAGCATTTGAGTGGGGAATTACATTGCTTGATGTCTTTTGTTTTTCTTCTTCATATAAAATACATAAAACTTAGTTTTGTTAACATAAATATAAAATATTCATATGTCCAAATAAGCTAAGGAAACATAGAAGCGGTGATAGGATTTTCTCACACTTTCCCATGACTGTTTGTCTAGACTTTAATGAGGGTAATATCTATATTTACAAAGCTTAAAAGTAATTTTCATTGACAGGAGTAAATTTCAAGCCAGGCCTTTTCAGCTTCCCAAGCTGCGTTTTCTTTTGATCATTTTAAATATGGTTTATTCACAAAAAATCTGGCAGATTAACCACAGACACATTTACAATTACATTCTACAGAGAAAGGTTTATTCTGTACAATGTATTTGCCCAGGTGTGTAGACTATGATATCACACTATAATCTTTAGTAAGCAGAGTTCTTAAGTTGAAGCAGATAATATTTTACTATTTGAGCTTCTAAATTGATGATCTAATGATTTAGATGATGATCTAAATGGGATCATCATCAGTTGTTTAGTTTTACTTCTCAGAGTTTGAAGTCAAATTTACTGAACAGTTATAAGGGAATCTTGGCTATCTAGTTGCTGAATGGTTGATTATTAGTTTTTTTTTTTTAATAAGCTCAGCTGGCTGAGCAGGTTTCTTATCTGTCATAAATTACTCTGCTTCCTACTTAAACAATGACATTTGTGTAATTATAACACTAAATTTGATTAATGCATAATTGTTTTAAGAAATATTTTTTAAAAATGTGACAGCTCAAAATAGGCAAAAATAAAATCATTGTGTTTGTTTTTTGGCAGATCACTAAGGTTAATTATAACATATTTTTTCCCTCAGACATGTCTGATCTGGGACGGTTTTTGCTTACCCCCATTATTGTTGTTGTTTTCCATGTCAGGGAAAAAAAAACAACAACCATGACGTGCATGGCAGTCTTAATGTCCCTTTTTCTATGTGGACAACCTTAACAAAGGTGTTGCAAGCCTATCAACCACAGTTAGAAATAGAAATGTCCCTCTGGCATACTAATACAGAGCCCTCATTAGTCCCTGGAAATACAAATAGCACAAATGTAAAATGTCAGGGAGTTAGAGTGTTTCTGTTAATTAAAAGAATCTGTGTTGTATGATTGTTGTAATCTTTTAGCCCTTACATGTGTGGTATATGAAGTAATTAAGATTCTACAGGAGATTTCCAAACATCACATTGCTGCTTTCATTGGATTGTAAATGTGACTGGCCACGACTGCTACAGGAACAAGTTTCTACCCCTTGGGGTTTTTGAGTTGTTTGCCGATTTTGAAAGTGTAGATTTGAAGCTTTATAATGATGTCAAACACATAGAAATGAGAAAGTGAAGAAGCTTTGGGACTCTAAACAAGATGAAGGAGAAAAAAGCCCTCAATTTTTTAAAAGAGTTATTCCTGAATCTGATCAGTTACCTGGACTTATTGACAATTCGGCAAGAAAATAGCAGAAGATAAAAGACACAACATGTTATGCAAGAAAATATTTTTTACCCCAAAGAAAATATGATGTAAACAATTATTTAATTTTATTTTCACCAGCCACAAGATGCAGTTCATCAGCATGACACACATCACTGCTCATTCCTCTGGCCACAACTTTTAATATCCTAAAAGGAATAAAAGTTCTGAGGGTCACTCCATGAGAATGAAAAACACTATTCCTGCAGACATGAATATGTCCAATCATACAAGCAGTTTTAGTATTGTTTTTTTTTTTTCAGCAGTATTTCTCTGCTGGATGTCGTCCTCTCCGAAGTATCACATTTCTAACAGCACATTACCAACCTGGGTTCAGGGTGCTATGATGGCAATATTAGTTAGCCAGGTATTTTCTTCACATTTGCATCTTATTGGCTGAATTTATTCTGTAAGCAAGATGAATTCAAAGACAAAGTTTACCATTTTAAAACCTCTGAGACTGCTATGTAGTTGTTTCCTCATGATCTGAACTAATGTATCACTATTTTCTGAGTTAGAGGTGTTTTTTAAAATCTATTTATTTAATTTCTGTGCTAGTGTC